GAGTGTGTGAGATATTATTGATATCTTTGGTGAGTAAATGCATCTAAATGAATTATTTTTTGAATTTCTGGGTTGAATTATCTTTTACGAGAATTTAGATAATGATATATTTGTACATTATTTTCGATTTCTTAATTCCTCCTCTAATGTTGAGAGAATTGTCCAATCAAATTGACAATCAATAAATTTCATTATAAAATATCACCCATTTGAGATAATAATTCAAAGTACGCATTTATTCTCACCATTATTTATTTTTCATCTCAGTGCAATGTGGTGAATTAATTGTACGTACATTGCACTATCAAATAATTAGATGAAAAAAAAACTTGACCATACCCCAATTATAACATAGAGAACTTGATATCGGTGTGATACATAGTAACATTTCCTAAAATAGAAATGGGTGGTACTTTGTTCTTAATTAAATTAATTTTGAGGCATTTAACAAGTAATGGTACTAAGTCAATTATCGACATCTCAACTAATACTTATTAAAAGTTTGGGATGCAGACTCACTACCATTAACAAGACATATCGTCTTGATTGTATAATCTAAACATTATCTTTCAAATTTTATGATCATAATTTTAAATTTGAACGATAATTTTGCAATCTAGTATATGTATCAAGTTTATTAGATACAAAAATTATTTAGATAGTCGGTATGGAGTGTAATGAAGCCCCATATATCACTTTAATTAAATTTTTAGAAATATAGAAAATCTAGCCACTAGTTTAGTTTGTGATGATCAATGATTATTTTTAATGAAAAGAATAAACATCATATATGAATTCTTAGGATTGAAGAATCCTTCGGTTCTTCATTAAGTGTTCAAAATCTCCAACTAATTGTGACAAACAGTAATATATTCAGTTTCAATACAATGTTTGTCATTTGAATACCTATTCAATCAAATAAAATATAGCTCAAAGCAGATGGCATCGTTGGGCTTAGCAAATCCAAATTGTGCATAGCATTGCAATTAAGACGTCATCATAACATAATTTTCTAGCTCAACTTTCCTCTTATGTACGTTTCTTTACCATTTTTTTTAACTCGTTATGATACTCAACTTAATTCGTTTACATCATTTGTTTCAAATGTGCATATTCGATGGGGGCATACGGAATTCCTTTTTGATGAAAGTATAATTACTTCTATTGAAAGTCTCGACATAATTTTTTTTGGAGTGCTTTTACTTATTTTAATGCCATAGCTTACAATCTTATACTTTTTCGCTTAAGCTACATGCATTTAGTTCCCAATGATCACTTAAGTTTATTTTCAATAAATTTGGAGTTGAGTAATTAGTGAATTCTTATATCACATAAAAAGAGATCGAGGGATCCACGCATTACTTGGCCCACACGGGATTTATGGCGGGTTGGGCCACACCCAGTTCTCAATTTTTTCAAGGCCTATATGGCCCAAACATCTCTTATCATTTTTTGGACCAATGCGAGCCATTCCATGGTCTCGACTGGAATTTGGCTTTTCACGATCTGTGTCATCCTAGTTCATTTTAACAACGTTATAGTAGGTTGACAATCAATATCAAATTTGCTCGTACTTTCCCTGATATGATGAAGGATTGGCTCCTACTTCTAGGTACAAGAGAGTTTAAAGGGAAAGCCCTTATCCTTGGTTAAAGACACACACCTACCTGTCTGTTGGAAAGGCCCATTAACACTTCGGATCCAATAATGAGGCCCAAATATAGTTGGTAGCACGAATCAACGCAGTAGCGGCGTTGGTCTAGTTGGTAGCACGAATCAACGATGGCGATCTCGAGAAGCCATGCAATGGGGTGGGGCTGCTTCTTTCACTATTTTTCTTTATTTGCGCGAGATATATGTTTCTTTGTTAATGCATGATGTTTCGTGACTGAATCATTGGTTATATAGGTGGTCGTGGTGCCTGTGGCCGCGACTTTGGGGATTTTTTTGGGTGAGGATTGTGGTTTTAGTGTGGTAGAGATTGAAGGCTTGTTGTGGTGGTGGGGATAAATCGAGTTGGTGTGTAGGTGGTGGTGGTGAGAAGGTGATGTTGTTGGCGGTAGTAGTGTTGTAGTAATGGGTTAGTGGCGCTCGATGGTGGTTGTGACGAATTATTTGTCATCGTCACTGTCGTTGTGGTGGTTGTAAATTAGTGATGATTTTTGCTAGTTGATTTGGTTTGTTTGAGATGGTGGTGGTGTTGTTGGGAGGTGGCGATGGTGTTGCTTAATGCAATGATGAGGTGTTGTTTTTAAATTATTTGGTTGACGTGCAATATGTGACCAATGAAATATATAAATTGTGATCAATAAATTGATTAATGTGTGATATAAAAATTTGTTAATTTGTGATCGTGTAATAAGTTGTGATTTATAAAATTTGTGACTTGTGACCTATAAATAAATAGCGGCCTGTAAATTTTTTATTTGCAATCGATGATTAAATTGCGACTTATAAAATTTTTAATTTGTGACCATGAAATAACTTATGACCCATAAAATTTTGATTTATGAATGAGAAATAATTTGTGACCAAGTTGTATATAATTGTGACCTTAATATATTTAATTAATTATTTTAAAAATAAAATTTAATTAATATCTGGTTTTTGAAATTGTAAACTTTGTTTCTTAATTTTTTTAAATTGGCCATCGTTAATATCTTACATAAACAATTTTCATCAGATTATTTTACTTCCTAAAGATTCTTATAATTTCAGCAAGTACTTATTTTCTACTTATTTTTCCACATGTTTTTCGATTTATTAGAATTAAGTTGAAAATATATTTGCCATTTATTAGAAATGAATATATATAGCGGCAAGAAATGATCTAAAACTTATTTACTTAAAAGTAAAAAAATTAAGTTACTTAATTTTAATATAAAAATCTTTGTTCGCTTAAAATTAAGAAAAAATGAACATGTTTGAAAATTAAAAGTAATTTTTAAGCTTTTTACAAACATATTGATAAGATACTGTTTTTCACTTTAAAAATTAAATTTACATATTTTGAAAGTAACTTTTGCATTAATTACGAAGTAAGTAACGTTCTTCGATTTTGACTAATAATAATATGTTATTTGCTTTAAAAAAATTAGAGAAAATTACAAGAAATATGTGATCTTGCTATAAAATTTCGAGGGTCTGGATGTAATTAAATATTTATGACTTCTCTCGTGTAGTAAAACTTTTATTAAGAAAATATTTACTTTCTTCCTCTTCAGTTGATTGTTATAAAAGATTATGCACCATCTTTCATAAAGGTTGTGAAGCCACTCATTTTCAGATTTTTTGGACGGCAATCGTTCCTCCGATCTAATGTTATGAGAAATTTTGGATAAAATTTGTTAGTAGGGATCTAATGTTAAAGAATTTGAAGATTGAGTACTTAAGTACTAAGAAAAATAACATGGACAGGGGATAGTTGGACCCTATTTTTGGCCAAAACGATCCAATCGAGGCAGATGGTGTCGGGATTTAGGCCTTTTTAATATTTTTATTTTCTTTCAAAAAGGATTCGATGGCTCGTCCGATGCAGGATAACACTAAAAATTACAATAACCCTATTTTATAGTTGTGTACAAGTCTTGATCGTGACTAAACAAATTCGACCTCTTCCGAGTCCCATCGGATCATGGATAACAAAATTTCCCGTCCCCACCTTGTCCCATTCGACCATAAAGTCCTTATGCAATTACTATAAAACGATTACTTAATGCAAGTAGTAACATTGACCATTACTATGCTAAATTTGATTATTCAAACTCTTAGAATTAAATTATCATTTTAAATTTTTTTATTTTCCCAATAGATCCAAATATTGAGTTGTTCAACTTTTATCTAAAGTGATTTCCCCGAGTAATCATAGTCCAAGAAAGTTCCAAGCAATCACCACAATAATCTCTCTACCACGTGACACTGCCCCAAATGTAAAATTCATTAATATTAATAAATATACATGTCCCATTCCATCTATACGTATGTATGAGAAAATTGTAAGATTGGTCCTCAACTTATTGCCTAAATAACAAGTTAGACCGTAACCCTTAAAAAGAAACAAAGTGATCATCACCTTACGATTATAGTTGCACAATCAGATAAAATTTTCAACTTACTGGCCAAATAATGAATTGATCTTCAACATTTATATAGAAAAAAAATAATTCTTCAATCTTCCATTACATTTACACAATCAAACTTTCGAGACAAAATCATGAAATTCTCATTACATCGTCGTGATTGAGACATTATGGAAACACGTCTCACTTCAAAAATCTAAGCATAAATCTAATATAAGAAATAATATAAAATTTAACTTCTTAAAATTGCATACATGGGACCGCTTGGCTTTTTTGTAGAGTTTTAGACGGTTTTTCAATTATAATAAATGGTTGACGACTACCTCTTATTTGAAAGTTGAGGACCAATTTTCCATTCAAATAATTACTCGAGGTTTTTTACTGGATTTTCCATTATTTAAACAAGGATAAATTCCTTTAGAGGTTCCCAATCTTTTGTAAGTGTGACAATCGGGTGCCAAACATTCTGTTTGTCCACAAATGTTTCCAACCTTTTGACACTGTTCATGGTGTTCTCACCTACGAGAACGTCTATTTAAAAGTTAACTCCACAAAATATTTATGTGATGTCTGACTAAAGGGCATAAATTTTTCCTACATTTTGAATATTAGTATCAACACACGATAATCATAATTTTTAACAGTAGTTTAAGAGTCAATCCCTCATGTCAAATATTACATGTGTGTCGTCTGATCATTTAATATCTAACTAAATATTTTTCGATAAATTAGATTACTACGTGAACAATGTAAAAAGGTTGTAGATATAGGTGCAAAAATGAAAAGTTGAGGACTTGATAGTCACCTCGACAAAAGGTTGAAGACCCCTAGGAGAACAAGCCATATAACACCCACCCTATCTACATCCAAAATTCAATATATACATGCATATAAGCAAACGTGTATATACCGCGTGGAAGTTTCAGTCAGTCAATTCTCCATAATCTGAACTGCGAGTCTTCGCCAAAAGTCTCTCTGTTTTTGGTCCCCCATTAAAGGGAAAAGAGAGAAAAACTTGTACACGAGAAGCGTTTTTTCTCCATTTTAGCACAATATATTTCAATAATCCTTTCAATAAACATCAATCAAAATATGGTTGAGAAGAGGCACATTCAAGCATTGTTTTTGTACTTTTTGGCGTGGTCTGCTACTGCTGCTCATCAGCCTCAGACCACCAACAAGAAACAGTCAAAATCGGGGAAAGGATTTAGGTCCTCTGTGTTTTTTCCTGTCACTGGAGATGTTTATCCAAAAGGGTATTTTTTATTTCTTGAATTGTTCATTAGATTTGTTAAAAATTTTATTACTTATTGATGGGTTTTTGGTTTTTTGTATGCATATGGTGTTTGATTGTGTTTTGAAAGGGACATTGGGTGGAAATTGATATAATTTTGATTTTGGGTTTTCTCTTGGGTTAAAGGTTATAGCACACTAATTATTTTCTTTGAATTGTTCTATTTTTTGTTCATAGTAGTGAAATGATTGAGAGTTGAAAAATTCTGGTCTGTATATTTCTAGAAATTTCTAGTAAATTTCCATGATTGTGTTTTCTAGAGGAGGTTTGTTGAGCATGAATTTTTACCAATTCATTTTGGTCCAAGCTGGAAAAGTAGTTCTTCACATAAAAAAGTATGCACTTTTTTGGAAAGTTTTGGCCCTGTGGTCTTAGCAGATGTTTCTTGTCATGCATTATGGCATGACATGTCAGACGGGAGATTAAAGAAGAAAAAGAAGTTAGAATATATCATGTTTACTCCGTTACAGTGCATCAAACACGTCCTTTATAAATTTAACCTAATTTCTTCTGGATAATGAAGATACTACGCCAGTCGCCAGTCTTCCCAGTGAATCCTTCTTATCCCGAAGAATTGAATGAATCAAGTTCACCTATACAAGAGAGAGCAATAAAAAATTGTAGCTATGTTTTTCCTTCTAATGTGAAAATCTTGGACTGAAATGGATAGGATTAAAAGAAGAAAAAACTACCTTAAATATAAGAGCCGAGTAGGCGGGTTTGTTCGAACACTAGATCCTTGCCCCCTAGAAATGCTGTACTAGCTCTCTTTCCTGATCGCTTCCAACGTTCCGCAAAAAGACCCTCTTAACAAGGTAGGCGATATCCGACCAACAGACAGCGACAGGCTGCATAAAAAGTTAGTAGTCTGGGACGGAAGCCCGCCGGGCAGCTATGCATAAACAGACCAGCAGAACAAATCGAATGTCACGAAGATAGGAGTAAGACGGCGGGTCGCCCAAAGTGAAAGGAAGGACCCTCATATTGGGGGAACCTGGGGGAAGGGATCTTAACCCCGAGGCTTCCCGAATTAATCCTTCTCAAAATTAACAATAGTAATAAAAGGCCCTACCCTGTTTCTTACGTTTTTATCACTTCGATATGTCTTTTTTGAATGCCGTGTCATGTTATATTGTGTACCAAACATACCCGAGGGCTGAGGGTAACCATAAATTCCGGTCTCTGTGTGTTGGATTCAAGTTTTTTGGTTGATATAATTACCAAAATACATTTTGTTTAATTTTTACATCATAGTTCCAAGTGGCTTTCACTAGAGGAAAACATGTTCAAAAGATCCGTTTTATCACTCCACATAAAGTTGGTTTGTTCACTGCTTATTCTTTATGCAGGTATTATTATGTAACGATCAATGTTGGCCAACCTCCGAAATCTTACTTTCTTGACATAGATACTGGCAGTGACCTTACTTGGCTCCAGTGTGATGCACCTTGTACTAAATGCACTCCGGTACTCTTTTCATTAAACTTATAAATCTGTTTAATGAGTGGTTATTTTCAGAATTTTGCTGACCTCTCTCTCTCTTTCTTTTTTTTTAGTCCCCACACAGTCTTTATAAACCCAACAAAAACCTCATCACATGTGAGCATCCCCTATGTGTCTCACTTCGTGGACCTGGGAACCATAATTGTGAAACCACCGATGAGCAATGTGACTATGAGGTGAATTATGCTGACCTAGGTTCATCTCTGGGTGTGCTGGTCATGGACTCGTTTCCTTTTAGGTTCACCAATGGTAGCGTATTAGCTCCTCGTCTATCGTTCGGGTGAGTTATATTCTTGTCATCAGTCTTTAATTCGCTTTTCTCTCTTTTGATGTATTGGAGGGCTGATGTCTTGTATGCATTTTTGGCTAAGGTTAAAACAAGTAAAGGTTACTTTTAAGCAATTTTTTGTTTCCAAACATATTTTGATATTTACTTTTGTCTTACTCCTAAGTTAAAAAAGTTAAAGTCACTCTCTCTTACTATGAAAGAGCATGTTGGCTAAGCTTATATGCAGCTTATTAGCTGCTTTGGCAGCATCATGTAACCTATTTTCAGTTTTAACCAGCAAAAATGTTATTTTGTTTAAAATTTACTTATTTATAAGCATGCTGTTAAGCTTTTTAGCAAGCATGCTTCTTGAATTCATCCCTAACTTAAAAAAAATCATGGCCTTTTATTTCATTCGACAATTAAAAGGCTGTCATCTCATAGTTTTATCAAAGAATCACGATTGGAATAGAAAACCAAAAGTCTGACTTTTCATCCAAGTAATTTTATTTTTCTTTCTTGACACTGTGATGTGCAGATGTGGATACAATCAAGAAGTTCCGAATTCCATTCATCCGCCTTACACGGATGGAGTCCTTGGTCTTGGCAGTGGCAAGGCAAGCATTGTTGCACAATTGAGTGAGATGGGCCTGACAAGAAACGTTGTGGGTCACTGTTTAAGTGGGCAAGGTGGGGGGTTTCTTTTCTTTGGAGATGATTTTCTCCTGCCTTCAGAGATCGTTTGGGCACCAATTTTGAGCCAAACGTAAGCCCTTTTAAGTTATGTTGGTCATCTGTAGAACATGTTTGATAGGTAGTACTCTTTGGTATTGAATGGTATAATAGACAAGATCGTATCTTCTTTAGCCCCCTGTTTTAGCCCCATTCTACAAAAATTCATTTTTTCTCACTCTTATTTTCAACCGCACATTCGTCCAATAAAATAATTTTACACGTAAATCCAAACCTTTTTCCTAATTTTTACCTACACGTTTTTCAAAAAATCTACTATTATAGAACTTATTCTACCATAAACTGGGTCAGACAAACCCTTAATACTATCCAGTACTCAAGTGTACATCTTACCAAACAAGCTCTGAGTGTATCAGAGCGGAAATAAAATGTCGTGCTTTATCTATGGGTTTAATTGTAATTTTCAGGAAACACTACTCTCTGGGGCCGGCTGACCTCCAGTTTGGTGGCCAAGCTACTAACATTAAGGGGCTTCCAATAGTTCTTGACAGTGGGAGTACCTACAGTTACTTCAGTTCTCAAGCTTACAGTGCCCTAGTTTCTATGGTGAGGTTTAGCTGGTACAAGATTTTTCTGAAGTTCTCTTTCTGCATGCCTGGAGCTAACTGTAATTGCCCTTTTTCAGATAAATAAAGACATAAATGGGAAGTTAACGACTGCGGTGGAGGACAAAACCCTCCCGGTCTGCTGGAAAAGTGCAAAGCCCTTCAAATCCATCCGTGATGCCTCTAATTACTTCAAGCCATTGGCATTGAGCTTCAGAAATAGCAAAAAGGTCCAATTTCAACTGCTGCCGCAAGCTTATCTAATTGTCACGGTGAGATACTCTTTCGACCAGTTTTGTGTTTCTCGGCAATTATGTAGATACTGTTGGACTTGTGGAGCTTAATCGTTCTATTTTTCCCGAATTGGCCATATTGGGTATTCCATACATTTATTATAAGGTCGCCCTAGTGTTCCTAAGACATAACGTATCTCACAAGGGTAGTATTTTTTATTTTTTTATTTTTTTTAAGTGCGAGGAGTGTTAGATCGCCTTATACTCTTGTTCTTCATTAAGTGAAAACCTAAAGCTGCAAAGAAGATGCCACTTGCAGATTGAGAGTGAACAACTGTGAATGTGTACATGCTTTGCTTGTTTCTGATTTTATTATTGTTATGGTAAGAGTAGGAATTAGGATTTAGACCATGTATGGCTGTACCTATTTTTACCAAGTTTCCGAATTTAATTTCTCTGCTTTCAAAAGTGAGTTTTATCATACTTTCTAGAAAAGTAACTTTTTAAGCATGGCCAAACATGCTCCCATAACAATGAATATAGCTAGCATGAACTGGGATTTGTCTTTTCAGGAACATGGCAACTTGTGCTTAGGCATCTTGAACGGAAATGAGGTCGGGCTAGGAAATCTCAACGTTATTGGAGGTATGAAACTCAATACTGATATTTTCCTACATGGATATTCTTATTTAGCAACCTAATTTGTCATCAAATCTTCCATTTGTAGACGTTTCCCTGCAAGATAAATTGGTGGTTTATGACAACGAGAAGCAGCAGATAGGATGGGCTCCAGCAAACTGCAACAGGCTTCCCAAGTCCTGACCAATTTGATTGTTTTTTTTGCTTCAGCTTTCTTGGGCTGGGCAATCTCATCAGCATTTTTTGTTTACTTATTAACAGTATGGATCTTGATTATGTTGACGGGTACTATCGACCTTACGCAGCTGACTTCTTTCAAGAAACTTGCCCTGCAAGTTTTGATTCTGGTAGGAAGAGGAAGCAAGGCAGAAAGTAGATGAAGATTATTTCTTGCAGATATAAACTTCATACTGTTCTACACAATTTTTGATGGTTTTGTAAGTTTAGTACTTTGTTGTTACATATGTAGTTAGAACCTTATTACACTTGGGAAAGAGACAGGGCTGTATACCATATAATAAATACACACAGTGGAAGTATGTTTATAAAAGATCGTTACGACTACAAATAGGTGTGAAGTGAGTTGAGGCAGCATTCTATGGTCTAGCTTGATTGCCATATAATCCTGCCATAGCTTATGGGCCATGCTGGACCAGGCAATCTTGGTCTATGTTGAGGAAAGTGGACTGGACTGTAAATTCTCGACTCATTGATCTACATGGGCCAGAGTAATATTACATGGCGATAAATGGTAAATATCTAGTAGCTTGTTGGGAGTTTGTCCGGTATCTTTAATTAATACTCCTTCCGTCTCATTTATATGGTCAACTTTCCTTATTTTCTTGTTCCAAATATGTAGTCCTTTTTTTATTGAGGAAGTTTTGTTTTGTTCGTTTACTAATATACTTTTATTTAACTTGCGTAGTTATAATAAAATTTTTTACTTAATTTTGAAATTGTACAAATATAAATAAGGGTAAATTAAGAAATTTTTTGCAAAAATTGCTTTTTCAATAATATTAAGGCCCTATTTGAGCTCCATTATTTTCTCATTAAAATGAAAAATATGATTGTTATACATCACATCAAGTTACCTTATTTGACTTTTTATATATCTTGTATGAGACTTATAATGATTATATTTTTCATTTTCATTTTTACATTAATGTAGCTCAAACGGGGGCTAAATAAGATTTTTTAATCTATGTGAAAAACAAAATTAACGTACATAGATGGGATAGAGAGAGTAGTAAATTTTATGTAAAATTCGATTGTGAAAGTGTTTGCCACTTTTTGTTATAAAAGTGATATGACGTCATTTTTTATTTCAAAAGTGATAAATATTGTGTGAGATAAATATTATTAACAGTATATTTGGGAAGGGTTTAGATTCATCTAGAAAAAAAAAAAAAAATTCTCTTACTTTGCATGTAATTATTGAGGCATAGAAATAAGGAGGTTAAGAAGATCATTTTAATTCAATGAACTTTTGTGTGTCTTATAGATGAGTTTCGATATAGAAAAAAGCCTAATTAAAAAATTCTCTTACTTTGCATGTAATTGTTGAGGCATAGAAATAAGGAGGCTAAGAAGATCATTTTAATTCAATGAACTTTTGTATGTCTTATAGATGAGTTTGGATATAGAAAAAAGCCTAATGTACAGGCTCTGCGTTCACAGAGCCTGTATAGGCCCCCTCACATGCTGTGTGAGGGGGTGGGGGATTATTTAAAAAAAATAAAATTACCCACCGCCCCTGATATTCAGTCTGGCTTGTACAGGCCCTGTGTTCACAGGCCTGTACAACCAGCAAAGTCCTTCGATATAAATGACATGATGGTTCATTTTTTCTGTCAAAGTAATATATTGGTAGTAACGAAGTATATAGTTCTCTAATATGTAATTTATATTATAGTAATAAAAAATTTCAAAGAAAATTCAAAATAAAAAACTGCAGTTTCATAAATCTTTAAACTTTTTTTTTTAATGACTTTTTCTTTATAGCAACAATTGAAGAGAATTCACTTCATGTTTCATTCTTAGGGCATATTCGGTAGTGATTAATAGAATTGATTTTTTGATTGTTAAAGAGAAAAGTGAATTCCACCTATGAGTGAAGAAGGAAAAAATGACGGTTGAAATAGTGAAATAATATTTAAAAAATTGATTTTTTGGGGTGAAAAATTGCTATCAAACAGGGGTTTAATTTTTTAAAACTCTCAAAATGCTTTTATAAACATAAAAACGAATTTTTTGATAGGTGGTAGCATTTGAATTGATGTTGTCATCGAATTATATTTCACAAATTTGTAACCGAATTACGTCATTTTCTTCAAAAGTAGCAGCTTCCGATAGTAGTTAAGTGACATTTGTATATCGTTGTCACATTCATGCACAAGGAAACAATTTTATTATACACAACATGAGATTTTAATTAAAATGTGATATTATATGTCACTTTTAAATGGACAACCTTAATATAAACTAGAAAATAAATCGAAGTCAAATGACATGAAATGAAATTATAACTATACTTTTTAGGGTGGCCAAAACAAAAGAAAATACAAAGAGAGAAGGCCGAAATGGCTAATTATCAAAACTTGAGGGGGTCAAAAGTGAATTCTCACTAACTCATTCATTATAGACCAGCTGTAATAATGTAAAATTACCAAAAAATCATTTCACAGATTTCCCCCAAATAGAAGCTGAACAGGAGAGAGAAACACCACAGTCTCTCTATATATTCCCTTCTCTCCGTAGCACGTACACCGGAGTCTTGAGTGGAGTCGCCAAATTCACTGAGACCCCACAAATCTCCCCTTAAACCCCAAACCCTGCAAAAGTCTCTCCCAATTTTAATCAGCATGCCAGCTTCTTCCTCAGGTAACCTTCCTTAAACCCCTAATTTCAATCCCCTGTACTCGCGCACACATACCCTTTTTGCAAAATTAAGCTGGAATTAATTATCTTTATCTTTTTTTTGTTTAATTTACATGCGCATTTATAAAGCTAAGCTGAACCCTGATTAATTGTGATGTTTGTTTTAACTGATAACTCATTTTTGTGAATTTGAACTAGGATTCTTTTTATTTTGTGTTTATGAATTATATGCACACAGACCCTTTTGGGAAATGAAGCCAAAATTGGGTGCTATCGGTGCTTTTTATGTATAATTTGCAGGCACATTTGTTGAATTTGGTGAAAAGGTTTGGCATTTGTTACAACATATTTACCTTTAGATTGCTCATTTGTGAACGTAAAATGTTTATTAGTTGATGGTTTAACGAAAATAGCGCGCACACACACACACACACACACATATAGAGAGAGAGAGAGGTCCATTTGTGAAACTAAGCTGGAAATGTTGATTTACTCTTTACTTTTATATCTCTGGTGCTATTTTGTGGTTTTATGCCTTTTTGTTGTTAAGATACAAGGACTAGGTGGAGGAAACGGAAAAGGGAGCACCCAAAATCCAAGCTCAAGGAACCTGATAATGATGACGTGCTTGAGGACAATGAATACGATGACGACCACGACATGGACCCACCTCAAAACCACCCAGAAACTGACGACAATCCTCCCCAGCAGAATGCAAATCATATGGCCCAAATATCAAGAGAAAGAGAGAGTGAAAAATTGGTGGATGATGGCGTGAAAATTTGCGAATTTCCAGTTGCAATTAAGAGGGTGGTTAGTAGGCCTCACCCATTGGTTTTGGGGATTGTGGAAGCTGAGAGGGCAACACATAATGGAGTAAGCCGAAGCCAGGGGCAGGGAATGGCAGCTTTCTTGGAGAACATTTCGTATGGCCAGCTGCAAGCTCTCTCTGCTGTGCCCCAGGATAGTCCAGCTTTATTAGGAGCTGCTGCAGAGGAGACAGCAAGTTGCAGCGGAGGAGGATCGTATGTTATAGTGCCACCTGGAATAGTTCCTGGCTCTGGTGTTACTAAAAGGTTTGGGAGCGCAGGCCGGGTCCACATTTTGCCAGTGCATGCAGGTTGCTCATTTCCCTGATGTATTCTATATGTATGCATGCGGTTGTATTGGAAAATGCCAAGTTGTTAGATTAGTGAATTGATGCTATCTGAATACATATGTTAGTTTATTGTTTTATTTATTGAAGAAGTTATGATATAACATGAAGAAAATGTGCTAACTGAGACTTGCAAGATAATTACTTTGTTGGCTTATGCTTTAGAAAATAGTTCAACTCATTGTACAATGAGATTTTGCAATTTTCAAATGATGTTTCCTCTATATGGGATCTTAAAAATAGTATTTAGTATAAACATCTATGTGACATATCTAAGCACTTGTCATCATCAATAAAAAGTATTTAGTTATTTGGTACACTTAATATTACAATGAGGGTAATATATGAAAAGCCTATCCTCTCTTGTCTATCTCATTTAACACGGATTAGCAATTTATTTTTCTATTCTATGGAAGTCAATGAATCACATATATTTAGATGTTGTTGCAGATAGCACTCTAATAGTCAATCACTCAAAGCACACACTGAGACTTGTGGTATCTCTTATTACACTGAGTAGCAGATTATGTTCCTTCTTATTCTGTGGAAGTTTATCTTGTTTTATTTAAATGTAGCTGCAGATTTCACTTCTGAACACTCCAAAAATCACACAAGGATTTATGTGAAATCGAAAAAATTATATGAAGCGTTTAGAGCATCTCCAATAGTTGTGTAAAATAGATCTAAATCGTGATTTAAAGTTTCAAAGTGGCCGGAAACCTCTTCAATGGAGAGATGTAAAGGAAATGCAAATAGCATTTCCTGGTAGAAAATGTGAAAAAAAAAGATGTATGTTTACGTCATTCTTTACATCCGAAAGAGGCAAAAAGTGGATTTAGATCATCTCTTTGAAACAGAATTTGGATTTAGATCTACTGGGATGTAAATGAGGATGCAAAAGTGCTTTTGGAGATACCAATTTTCATCCAATTGTACACCACCATTGAAGATGCTCTTATAGCTGATTTCGTAATGATCAAGAAGAGAAAATCATTTGTTTTAATGGGCTGGCTGCTTTTGGCCTTATTTTTGGTTGGAAATAAATATATAAATTTCAGGTCCTTATAATGTCTTTTGTGTGTTACCTATTGTACCCAATGTGTAAAATCATTATTAATCTTGAATTTTCTTTGTGTTTACCTAATTTAGTTTGTATTTGGGTTTCGTTTGTTTTGAGCAGACTGGTTTTCACCAAATTCAGTTCATAGATTGGAGAGACAAGTGGTGCCACATTTTTTCTCAGGGAAGTCAGCAGATCATACGCCTGAAAAGTACATCGAGTGTCGAAATTTTATTGTTGCAAAGTACATGGAGAACCCAGAAAAGCACCTGTCGGTTTCCGATTGTGAGGGACTAGTAGCTGGTATTGATCATGACGATTTAACTAGAATTGTACGGTTTCTTAATCATTGGGGAATCATCAACTATTGCGCCACTCCTCTTAATCATGGACCCCAGAAAGATGGAACATATTTATGCGAGGATTCAAATGGTGAACTTTGTGTGCCTTCGGCTGCTTTGAAATCAATAGATAGCTTAATCCTGTTTGACAAGCCTAAATGTAGGCTCAAGGCAACAGAGGTTTATACCAAACTTGCTCGTCAGCAGGACGAGGACACTGACTTTGACAGCACCATCCGAGAGAAATTATCTGAGCACCGATGCAATTATTGTTCCCGGTCTATCCCTACAGTGTATTACCAGTCAGAGAAAGAGGTAAATGCATTATTTTGAAGGTTGAACAACAAAGTTTCTTAACCTTTCTATGTCTCTCTTATTTTCTTTTAAGCTATTTTTTTTAACGGAAATGTCTCATCTTCATCTCTTAGGAATATTATTATTATATACATCATATTGGCACAAATTTGAATGTGTAGATAGTTCTTTTGCACTGTATGCTGTTGCTTAGATGCCCGTACATGAATGAGAATGTCCTACACTAGCTGTTGCATTGATGAGCGGACATCCTGTGGGCACATATTTACTTGAAACGTCTCCTTATTACTCTCTTCATCTCAATTAGTCTGTTGGTTGGAGATGACAAGATATTTTAGGTGAGTTGAAAAGTGATGTGTTAGGAAGTTTTCCAATCCCATTCCTTTGAAGTATGACATCAAGTGTTAGGTTGTGCCCTATTAGCTTTTACCGGGAATTGTACAGGTGGTTAGATTTTCATCATATAAAGGTGCAGGACAACTCTGTATAGGTAACATATAGAACTGCTTGTTATACTCCTTGCTCCTGCGAATTTGCATGGGATTGCACTATGGCTATGATCAAGTCAAGGCGGAGACATGCGAAACTTTACATGGTAGAAATTGAACTCCACTGCCATTGGTAAATGAGACTGCTCGAGAGCTGCTGAATTACAAATAATTTGTATAGCTGTTGAGCGAAGCTGAGTTTGAGCTCCAATTTGTACCTAATTTAGACCCATTTTTATTTGGAGAAAATGTACTTTGGAATAGTCATTCTTTAGAGAATGTGTGGTTAAAAATAGGAAAAAGTTATAGGATTAAGTGTAAAATTATTTTATGGGAGAATTTGTAGTAGAGAATTAGTTTTTGGGAAAAATGGGGTTCAAATTGGGGCTTATTATTTTCCAATTTTTTGGGGAATGATAGACATTATTAGTTATTAAAAATAAACAAATTAATACCTATTTAAGTATTTAAGAATAAAATGATTTTTGAGTCTTATATGAATGACTTGTAGATTAATGCAACCGTTACCTCTAAATGCATGACTAAATTTTCAATAATTAGTAAGGTTATTTGAGCTGATCGTTTACCATGCCACAAGCAGCCTCAAATTTCTGTATTTGGTTTTTCATAAATGGATTTTTAAAGGAAGGTTATTCTAATGTTTTATGGTATGCTTCATGGTACTGAACCCTAATTGGCGCGGAAGCATATGTGAAATTTTTATAATAAGAATTATGTAATAAATAAGAACGATTTTGGAATAATCTTGCTTTGCTTATATCAAATGATAATTGATGTCTTGAAAAAGTGTACAATGCCTCAATATTTATATAGGCGAGATTATTCCCTACTTTTACTAATACTAGGAGATTGAAACTATAATCCTAATCAAATAAAAGAGAACCTATCACAAATACAAAAGAAAATTAGGATAGATAATCACAATTGAAAGATACAACTGGAAAAGGTAAATCACAATTGTAGTAGGAAACTATTAATTGTGATTGTGTACTACCTCACTAATTGTTGGATTGTTAATGAAAAAAATGTCGATAATATGAACATAGTGGAAGTCATACTAAAATAGATAAGATAGGAAATTTGTACATACACCAACAAGCGGAGGTGGCACTAAACGAGGTTATATGGAAGCTCCTATTCAGTTGCACAATCTCAATGGAATATGTTGGTATGGGAAGGCATTAACATAAACTAACATGGTGTATTGTGGTTGCTAAAGATCTAGTTACTTTGAATCGCCTAGTAGATCTAACGTTGCACCAAACAGAGTGGTCAAAAGGATTTATGTAGCTGACCTCAAATTTATTGGGGACACAACTTTGTTTGTTGTTCTCTTGTGAGGAAGGCATTTGTGAACTTCAGAATGAAAAGAGGTTACAAGATTTATAAATGGCCTCTGCTATTTTTTTTGAATTTCAGTTGCACGAGCTTTTGTGATATAATCTTGTTTTCAAGTCAGTAACGCTTGTAGTGTCAAGTTTTAGATATTTACTCACGATGTGTGGAGAATTAGGTGCAAACGCGATTGATTGTTGGTAACTATTTTCTATGTTTATTTGCTTATTTATGCCCTTAATTATGCACTCATGATAAGGAATAAAGTTGCCTTTTTAGGATGTAGTGACACATATGCTAGATAATTATGCTCAAGACGTTACAACTATTTTCATGTTGACGAATGATGCACTGCACATGTAAATTTATGACTTCATTTAATCCCATCCTTAGGTAACCTGAGTGAGCTGAGCTAGCACTTGAAATCTACAGTTCACTCTGCCTGAGCGGTTTGTGAACCATTACACAATTAAATTGAATAGGTATATTAATCAGGTCATAAGAGGATCTAAATCTTTGATGAAGAAATGCAAAGCATTATATTTCTTGATTCGACATTGCTGCAAAGGAATCAGCAAAAATGTAATTATTTTAATTTTTTTTCATCCGATGGTCAGTGATGTGACTGCGAGTAAGACATGAAATTGCATAATTTGAGAAGATAAATGACTGATTGATTCACGTCTTTTGTATTACTTTTGTTGCTAACAAGTATCTTTGACAGGTTGATGCGATGCTGTGTTTGGATTGCTTCCACGAGGGAAGATTTATTGCTGGTCACTCTAGCCTGGATTTTGTGAGGGTCAGTTCCATAAAGGATTATGGAGATGTGGATGGAGATGATTGGAGTGATCAGGAGACATTGCTCCTGCTTGAGGGGATGCAACTGTACAATGAAAACTGGGATAAAATTTCCGTGCACGTAGGTACAAAGTCAAGAGCACAGTGCATCCTTCATTTTGTGCGCCTTCCGCTGGATGGCGCTCCACTTGAGACTATTGATGTTCCAAGTATATCTGGTTCATCAAGTTCATGGAATCAAGATGATCATGGGAGATCACAGCTGAATTCAAATGGTAATACTGCTGGTATTTCTATGCAATTTTTTTTCTTTCTGCACATTCAGGAACTTCTAGTAATCCACATTTGCATTTTATTGTGATGCAGGATGCAGTTTGCAAGATAGTAATTCTGCAAGCAAATTTCCTTTTGCAAATTCTGAAAATCCAGTGATGAACCTGGTAAGTTTCCTTCTAAACCCTGTGCTCATGTTATTTTCTGTGTAGGTATTCCCTTTCTCTCTCCTATCACCTCGTTTACTCTTTCTATCTGCATATATGTGCTTTTGTCTATCTCCACTCGGACATTCTTCTCTATTTGCACTGGGACCAAGTACTCCCTCAGTTTAACTTACTGTGTGCACACGTTGTTTGTACTGTTTTTCGCACATGTTCACTGGGTTCTCTTTGCCATCAAGGTTGATGTCAATGTGTGGGGAGGTTTGGTTAACGTTCCTTTACTTGGCCAGTGTTATCTACTTAGAATAATGTAACAAAATTTTGTTTGTTCCATAATATCTTCTCTTTAATATCTAACGATATAATCGAAAACTATTTCTATCGAAAGAATACCATTTCTGTACTGATATTATACTGATATTCAAACTGAAGTGACTCTCTTTCATTCTCTTATCTATTCTCACTCAAGTCCTTTTTATTGTCGCACTGAAGTTTTCTCAACTACTGACTTCTTTGATGGCTTGTCCACCTCCCTATATAGTTTAATAAAGCTCATCTGCTGTTCTTTTTAAGGTTGCCTTTCTTGCCTCTGCACTGGGGCCAAGAGTGGCTGCTGCCTGTGCTCATGCATCTCTGGGAGCATTATGTAAGGATGGTGGTAAGGAAGAGAGTCCTCGTGGAGAAACAATGAATTTTACTAAAAAAAGTAAGTCGCAAATTATGTTGGCCTTCTCATTTCTTCTTCCAAACTTTTTAACTGATTCTCTCAGAAGGTCCTTGGAGCCAACACGATGCAGAAGCTGTTCAGTTATCTGCTGAAAGTGTGAGAGCTGCTGCCGAAGCTGGTCTTGCAGCAGCGGCTACGAAGGCAAAGCTTTTTGCTGATCATGAAGAACGTGAAATTCAGAGGTTATCTGCCAATATTGTAAATCATCAGGTACCCTTGTTGATGCTCTGCTAGTTAAGAATTTTCAGACTATCATCTTTTCTTCCTAAGTCTATTGTGATGAAGACTATTGTTGTTGTTATACATTCTCATGTATGGGAGAAGTTTGTAACTTGAACTGTTGATTTCTGCCAACTAAGAATCACCTCTATCTGTAATAACTAATACACGGATTTGAGTAATCTTGTGTACATGCCGGAGGTGGAATTGTTGCTTTTTGGACATGAAGCCAAAATTTTAAAACTTGAGCGAAAGGATAACAGTTTGTTAGTGTTGTCGTTTCTTTGCATCGTCTTCTGTGTTATACTTTTGTTACTGCTGGTACCTGTATCACTGTATCTACCACTAATCTACATCTTTGCCCTTCACATTTGACAACTTCAGCCTTTCCTCGAAGACAAATATTAGTTATATGCTGTAAGATATCCAATGAACCCCATTTTCCCTTCCTGCTCCCATTTCCTTAACATGGTAAAACTGGCACATATGTACATCTAGTAACCACCCCTATCTCTCGTCCACATTAGCTATACCTTGATGTTTAACACCACCAAATTTGATCATTTGGTTGATTTAAATTTAGGGTGTGTTTGAGCCCCATTATTTGGCATTATAATGAGATGAATAGTATTTTTTTTTTGAAAAATGAGTGGTTGAAATTTTTTTGATTTAAGTGTAATATTATTTTATTGAAGATTGTGTGGTTAAAAGTAGGAGAGAGAAAATTTTAATTTAATGTAATGAGAAATAATGGGGCTCAAACGGGGGCTTATTCTCTTCTTTTATTATTTAAATATCTGGAGTGGAATCTGGATTGAAGCTAAACATATATTTCTGTCCTGGGTTTTAAGTAACTCTAACCACGGAGTGCCACCTTCCTTGCTTTCTATTTCCATTACTATCATATTCCAAACCCCCCCGGGGCCCCGCTCAAATTAACCTAATAGGTTTTGATTTTCAAATAGACTATTATTCATTGAATTGGTAATTATGAATCTGAGAAAAAAAAATGGAAATTGCTTCTTTTCAATTTACATGTGCAATGACTTGGTAAATTATCAATTTTGCTTTATTAATCAAAATCGTTTGTTTTATCCTCACGTGCTACAACTTAGTAACAATATGTTTTTGATAATCCTCAATTAGTATCCTAGAAGGAATTCATTCAGTTCTATTTTGATTGTAGTTTAGGTAATACTGTACAAACTAAACAGGAATAATACTTGCGTGCCAACCGCGACCTGACACCTGAAGCCTAATAGGTTTTCTCATCAATTACAGTTTGGAAATCTGAAAGTTGCTAAAATTGTTCGTTTTATTTTTTTCTGTTGAGTACAATTTAGATAAGAGTGAGTTCTTTTTTCTTGTTTCTAGGAAAATAATTCATATCTCTAGGTTAATTCTCTCTGAATTCATGAGTCCCTAATCTATCTTCAACCACCTCCCATGTTCAGTCAATAATTTGACATTGCTATCCTTGAAGTTATTATTGCTTACATAGTTACACTTAGTATTTATTTTTGTCCGCTTCAGTACTGATTCTTTCTCTTACTGGAGCGGATACTTCTTAGCAATAAGTCAGTTTTTAAGGACACAGCTTTGTAAACTACACTTCTTATCATTTAAGATGGTTCCTCATATCTATCTCGTAAACTATGTTGCCTGCTGCAATCAAGAAACAACTTTCCTACATAGTAAGTTCTCCTCTTAGAGCGATTTCTACTGTGACTTGTCTACTTGATATTATATTTCCTGTCATCTCTAAAACATGCCTATATCAGGCATACGTACAAAGGTTATGTCCTCGATTTAATGTGTGAGGCTAATGCGAAGCTTTCATAACTTCCATTTCACAACAAGGTTGGAACCTCAAAACTCTGTGACAAATGTAGAATCAGAGGATTGTTCATTTCACTTGTGCTCATAAAATATTGCAACTTTACCCTGTCCTGGACCTGCTTTAAACAAGTTGTTAATGTGAAGAATAGTGTTTACAGTGTTCACTGTTTAGTCGTACGATGACGATAAAAGCGAATTGATCTAATTGCGGGTAGGTTTCTGATGCTGTGTGGTTATCTGTTACATGCTAATGAATTATGATCTGTGGTGTTGTTCTGGGTGGTCATAATTTAATACCTCATATTTTGCTCAATTCATTGATCGTAATTTAATGCCTCATATTTGTAGGATGTTACTGCATAAAGTTTCATGTATCGAAGGGTACAGGTTTAAATACATTTTTGATCTCTAAATTTTTAGTGAAATTTCATGTTATCACTAAAATTCATTTTGATTCAAGTTGGTCATTGAACATAAACTTCTCTACATGTTTTTCACTGTCCTTGTCCGTTTGTTTGGCTGATGAAAAATATGATGCAGCAATCTAGTTACTTTCCGACTAGGCTGCTTCCTATGACAAACTATTGGCATGAATGGAATGACCAAATTATACTGATGTTTTAAGATCGTTGACCCAATTGGACCAAGGTTTAGTTCAATGGCAAACTGGATTGAAACGAATTTGTCACCAAAATGAAATTTTGCTAAAAAATCAGTAACCCACCAGTGTTTTTAACTTTAGGGTATAAAATCTGTGTGAAACTACCAATCCCATTAGAGGTCATAATGCCTTTATATTCTGTACGGTTAAAGACCACTCTAAATTGGACAGGAAAAACCATATTTCTAATAGCATTAACATTTCATGATAATTTCCGACAAACCACCTATTTTCTTTCAGATGAAGAGATTGGAGCTGAAGCTGAAGCAGTTTGCGGAAGTGGAGACCTTACTAATGAGAGAATGTGAACAAATGGAGAGGACAAGACAGAGGTTTGCTGCCGAGCGGGCCCTCATGATGTCGGCACAATTTGGACCCGCTGGAACATCTCGATCCATTGGCCCACAAACCGTCGCTAATGCCGTTGTAAATAATGCCGCTGGAAACAATGGGCAACAAGTTTCGGGATCTCAACAGCCTTTCGTTTCCGGTTATGGCAGTAATCAACCCATCCATCCACATATATCACTCATTCAACAGCATGGGATGTATGGACTCGGGCCACGGCTGCCCCTTTCATCTTTACACCCTTCCTCTCCCTCTTCAGGAGCTAATGCCGTGTTTAGTCCCCCGGCAAATTCCCAGCCATCTATTGGTCATCCAATACGCAGATCATTATCTGGGAGTAAATCCAGTTTAGGTTAGTCGACGCAAGTGATTCGGGTTTTAAACTTTCTTGGATTGATTACTCTTATTGCTTTTCATGTCTGCACTAGAAGAGAGCAATTGGTGGAATGAGACAGGTACGGACATTGTATATTTGGTTATAATGGAAGCAGAGTCGAGTTACTTTGAATGGTTGCTTAGTACAGGTTTTTTCTTCATTATTAAAGTCGAGTTATTACACGCTTTTTTCATCATGATCGAATACTGATCCAGTATGTAGGATTCTAGGGAAATACTTTGGAGCTGTAGTTCTTTGCAGAGAATGAAGATTGATGCAGGAAACTAGGACCAAGAAAGTTGTATTTGATGGATTTCATTGATATTCTTGATTTTGATTTCAGCTTACAACAAGGAAAATTTTGCTTCATTATTCGTCTTTAGACATTTTTGATCATGCATTTATTGAAGGGTTAAAAGCTTCGCGGGTTACTAACTTTTAGCGGAATTGGATTCAAGTCACTTATTTTTCATTCGTGCTATTAAGAACTTCGATTTTTTTTTTACAAATTTGGCTACTCTCTCCACTGACATTGAGCAGATGAGAGCTGCTTTATGGCCACGGCCACTCCCTGACATTAGTAGAGGAGAGTTGCTTTATGGCTAGGCCAGGGCCATTCAGGGGCGCACCCTATTGGTGGGGGTGGTGAGGGGTCTCTGATTACGTAAATTTAGACTTGTGTAGGTAGGACGGCTCGGCCCTTTAACCCATGAGCTCGGCTTGGGCTTGTGGCGAGCTGAGCTGAGTCCACGAGTCGCTCACGAGCTCGTGATTTTTAAAATTTTTTCTTTTTATTTATTTATGTTATTTTATTATTTATTTTTTTTTTTTTGTAAATTTGCACATTTTTGACAAGGCTCGTGGGCTCGTGAACTTTGGCTTGCTCGTGGGATTGAGCCCTCAGGCTCGGGCTCGTCAACGCGCACGAGCTGAGTTTTAACGAGCCGACGAGTTGTTCGGCTTGTTTGACATCACTATGTGCAAGTGCTGGTGGTGTTAGATTTGTAAGCAAGTCGAAGTTAAATGTCTTTATTGCACTATCTTAAAGATGGGCGTTTGTCAAAATCCCGCAAGCGTACGGACTTGTTGTACAAATAATAATTGTGACGAAAGAGTTATCGTCCCACAGCGAATAAGGGCTAATTCTAGTATATTCGATATAATTAAGTTTGTGTTAATAACCAAAAGTTGATTTTAGTTTAAATAGCTAATTAAGTTCTATAACTAAAATTGCAAAATTAATGAGAATTTGTTTTAAAATTTAGATGAGTAAATGTATTGGATTTCCAACGCTACTGATCAACTTTTAGTTTTAATTCTCAACTTATGATATTTATCTCAATTCATGTAATTGTGTCGATTGATAATTCCACTTTTATTTATTATTCTTTCTCAAGATATGATAAATTTATGATTACCCCGAGACGATCATATTCTTAGTCCAAATTGATATAGCAAACACGCATTGATGTATATGATTATTACACATAATCGCACATGCCACAAATATTATTCCTAACATTCATTGTCCATATGTTTCAATAATAGTGTTCTACCTCCGGTGAATTTTTCAACACTACGAATAAACAACTTATTGTCTTAATGATGCGTAAACATTAAAACAATATGGATATGCATATTAAAGGAATCACAACACAATAATTAAGATAAAAACATAAGGTCTTGAATTAAAAATTAAGAATCAATCAGTTTTGTCATCTATTCAATACAAATATATTTAGCCTGACATATTAATGTAGGAAATACATTAAAAATAAAAGAACGACGTCACCCGAATCATAAAGTATGAAAAGAATCTGAAATCCTTTAGTTTATGCCTTTAATTTCGAATTCAAGTGATGAAATCTTGTTTTTCAATGTAATTCTCTTTATTTTTCTCTTTGTCGGCTTGCAAGATGATAAAAAAAATTAGGTTCCCATGTTTTAACCGATTCTTGGTATAAATATGGTGCCAAAAATTTCCAAAACAAAATAAGGAAAAAACGATTATTTTGTTACATTGTTCAACTGATGTATACGCATAGTAACCTCAATTGAGTTTAAGTTCAATTTTCCAACCGTGTGTACGCAAGGCCTGCAGACCCATGCGTACGCATAATTCAATTTTTTTAGGGGCCAATTTGTAATTTGGTCCCTGAACTTTATGAAGTGCGTGTTTTGATCATTTTCCAAAATTTCTCATCTCATTAGCTTCTTTTCAATTCCAATTGACTCTTGGTGTTCTTAACTCATCGTTCTGCAGTCCAATTCAACTTTTGGATTATTGTATTATAGTCCCCAAACTTTGCCCTTGATGCAATTGAGTGTTTTTCTCGCTTATTTTTTTTATTCTCGTATCTTCCATTGATTGTAATCTATACACAATATATACATAGGATTAAGCCATATTTTATCCAATTAATCAACAAATGATCAATTTTAACGGCCTAAATAAGTGTATGAAATACACTTATCAATAGGTGATCAAGAGCAACTTTGTTGAAGCTCAGGGACATGCAGTGCATTTCTTTTAATTTTTAAAAATTTATCTTATTATTATTTTTTCTGCAAAAGCAATTAACATATTGACATAAATACATGTGTTATAATAATTTAATAAAGATAATAAAAAAGGTAAAAAAAATATTTTTATGGCTTGTTTTAGTGTTATTTTCATTTTCATTTTTAGCTCTTGTATGGTGGAAATTAACATTAAGATTTTAATTTAAGTTAAAGTTAAAAAAAAAAAATTTAATCATACATTTTATGGGTTTTACAAATTTTCAAACATACGTTTTATCAATTTTTATCAAAATTTAAAAATTTATTAAAAATATGGTTTTAATCATCAACAAATAGGGCCTTACTTTTTAAACCCTTGATATTTATACTTAAAATATAAAAAAACTGGCATAAAAGTTTAAAACTTGGATTTTGGTTCAACTTTCACGTGTTCCTTTTTTATAAACTGGAAAGTCGATTCAAATTGACAACATTATGATTAAAAAGAGGAAATATATTTTCTTCTAAATTAAAAATAATTGGGTTAAATTGCATTATTGGTCATCGAACTTTTAACAAGTTGCATCTAGATTTGCCATAGTTAATTTTGTACAGTCAAGTCACATAACTTTGATTTGCTTGCAAATCTAGTCACCACTCCATTGTGAACGGAATTGCAAAAATCAAAGATACTGAAATGAAACTCCTCTGAAAACTTGGTGACCACCAATGCAATTAACCTTTTTTTGAACAATCATTTTCTATTTATTATAATAATTTTTTTTTTAAAATAAAAAAATCGACGATTTAACCGTTTTATAAGCGAGAACCGGATGGCCGGTCTGCATGTCGGTTCATTTCACATTTTTCTTTCAAAACTTCGTATAGAAGGGTGCCCAAAACCCTAAACAGTTGCTCTCTGTTCTAGAATTCTACTTTTCTTTGAATCGAAGTTAAGATCGAAGCAGAAAATGCAGGCACCAGTCCTCGTTCTCAGTAAGTATTGTTTTCCTTTTGCTTTTTGAAATGAAACTCCTCTGAAAACTTGGTGACCACCAATGCAATTAACCTTTTTTTGAACAATCATTTTCTATTTATTATAATAATTTTTTTTTTAAAATAAAAAAATCGACGATTTAACCGTTTTATAAGCGAGAACCGGATGGCCGGTCTGCATGTCGGTTCATTTCACATTTTTCTTTCAAAACTTCGTATAGAAGGGTGCCCAAAACCCTAAACAGTTGCTCTCTGTTCTAGAATTCTACTTTTCTTTGAATCGAAGTTAAGATCGAAGCAGAAAATGCAGGCACCAGTCCTCGTTCTCAGTAAGTATTGTTTTCCTTTTGCTTATATTTGTACGCATGAATAATCCGGAAGAATTAATGAATACTGTAATCTTCCAGGCAGGGCGGCAAGGAGGGCTAGAATTTCTTGATTAGAGTAATAGAAATTTGTTAACTTAATAAGCTTGATTCGTGTATTAAATGCTTTTGTAGCATGCTAGCTTGTAATTTGAAGTGCAATATTAGCCAAGGCATTCGATGAAGGCTTATTGTTGCGTGAAAAGCATGATTATTAGTGAATGGTGAACCAGTTATTATATAAATTTGCAGCGATTTAATCTAAAATATAATTGTTTGGATAGTGCCTTTTTGATATACAAGTTATTTATTAACATATCATGCCTTCTTCTTTGGCTGATGGGTAATTTTAATTTCAATGGTGCAGAGGATTCACTGAATCGGGAATCTGGCAACAAGGTGCACTATGGCAATATCCAAGCGTCAAAGGTAGAGTGGATTCTCGTCTCCCTTTTTGCTCATCTACATCTGCTCATGTTTTTTGGCCTGTTCATAACCAGAGTAACAAGGATGAATATTGATTATGTTAGACATGCTATTTGTATCTTGTGATTTATTAAATTCAAGTTTATTCTTTACATCAAGGTATGGATTTTCTTTCTTTTTTGTTTTTCCGACTTTGGTTGTTTAGAGGGGGGTGGGGGTGATTTTATTTGTGTAGCTCTACCCTCTAAGATGAGTAGTTTTCACAAAATGTCCTTAGGTTATGATTTATTTGAAAAATCTCTAGTAATCTGGCTGAATTTTTCTATCCTTTTAACATTTCTCCATAAATTTATTTCGGTGGACAACTATTATGACATTCGACTTCTCATATGCTTGAGAATTTTTCTTCATCATACTTTGGATTGTCCTTGACAGGCTGTTGCTGATATTATTCGTACTACTTTGGGTCCACGATCCATGCTGAAAATGCTGCTTGATGCTGCTGGAGGTGATTCTATGAACTATATTCCATTATTTAAAAATATTGAATAAGAGTGGTGATTTTCGTGTATTCTATTTCCATCCACTGCTGTTGCAGTTAACCTAAGGAAAGGTAGGGTTGAGGTGAGGCAATAGGATAATGTTTTCCAGATGAGATGCAGAAGCATTTTGTCATTCAGTTACTTAACGTTTCATTACTTTGAATTGAGGAAGTGGCTATTATAATGATGATTCATCTTATTATATTGTTAGATGGAATTGTTATGCTGTGCTTCATAAGGAGTGTCACAGCTGATATTCATCTTGATTTATTAACTCAATTTCCTGTTTCCTTGTGTCTCCTTTTGTCTCTGATTAAATTTAATTCTTTTCCACACGTTAGGTATTGTGGTGACAAATGATGGAAATGCTATTCTCCGTGAGTTAGATCTTGCACACCCTGCAGCAAAAGTATAATCTATTTCTTTGCTTCTTTCTCCATGAATTTCTGTAATTTTAAGTGATTTGACTCCTATTGACCTCTGCTTGCAGTTGTTTTATACTGTGTTTTTCTGGATCGAATATTTAACACTCTACTCT